AAAACCGGAACATTACCTAGGGCACTGTTTTGGGATTGACTGCTTCATCCACCTGTGCGACCATCATAACCGCTATGTCAGCATATGCGTTCATATCGAGTCACACAATGGCCTTCGAGCAACAGGTTACCCTGGACTCAGCTTGACTACATTGTCATCATCTATTGATAACACAAGCTGGTCGGTCAATTTGGAGCACTTGGTTTATTTCGACTACATGCTCGCTTGTGGTCGCCTAATACTCTTGCTACTTCGGTCACTAGTTCATCTTCAAAGGTGCCTAGTCATAAGCTATATTCGTTACTTGTTAAGCATCAGTATCAATCTGAGTTGCGACACCAGCTGCCACTGATAAACGCGGTAGGAAAACCAGCTTTTTGCTAGAATCGCCTCCCGTGCTAAACATTTGAGGTAACTTGTTCGCCCGACTGAATTCCTCCGAATAGTGGGTATATTTTTGCAGCTTCGATTAGCTAGCTTAACGCACTAACTAGGGTTTCATCAGGACATCGGCTTTATATGCGCATATTGACAATAATCTAAATGTCCCCCCCCCCCAAAAGTACTGGATGGCAATGACCCGCGCGATGGAGGGACACCAATGGGTTCTTCCCACCCACTGGACGCATTACCCAAAGAATAGTTTACTTGGATGAAATAATAGTTAAAAAAGAAGAGCTACTGATTCATTCTTGGTCAAATCGATTAGGACGCTGGGCTAAGCGCTTTAAAGAGCAGTTTAGCTGACCTGGTGTCTCAGGATTGTTAGCTGTGCCGCCTGGGTCCATCCAGGAAATTGACGTAACAAGTCCCACCGTCGACGATACCAGACCTGATGTGGCGTTATGTGCCTGGCCAAGGCTACTTTCCACCGTCGCTCCCGAAGAAATAATAGTGATTGTTTTAACTGACCTGTTCGACATCTTTTGATGCAAGGAAGTAGTGCAGTCGTAAACCGTGATTCCCACCTCCGAAGAGGAGCAAAAGACTTCCTGTGAGAATCATCATGATATCAAATTTATCTCTCTTGCTTCTAAACCGCTGACATGCGTCATCCTACGGCCATCGCGATTAAGGTACACCTCCTGCACTGATTTTGGGCGAGTATCAAAGAGAAGTCGTCTAAAAATCTAACTACTTAGGAATCGAGATCAGTGTCTCTGGAATAGTGGATCGAGTGGCAAGCTTGAGACACTTTTTATCCAACTTCACTTATCGCATCGGCGCGAAATCACTTTCGCCCCCATTGTGTGTAGCGTTTACAGTACAGCCACTCGTTCAACCCTAATCTATGGATGTGAAACCTGGCCCATCAAATGGACAGACATAAAGAGCCTAGTTGCGTTTGACCATCGCCGCCTTCGCAGTTTCGCTCATAACTAGTGGAAAGCCTGTGAGAGTAGTGGGTATATTCGGCGCCATGTTAACCGCACAGGAAGAAGAAATGAACCGCCCGGCATCATCTCGCGCATCAGCCTCCGATGTCGGGACCATGTATTACTCATGTCAGTACACTGACTCTCTCGACCTGCTTTGTTCGTGCGACTCGGGTCTGGATGGAAAAATAGGAGGGGGTGTGTGGTTAAGCGATGACTTGGTCAAAAGCATAAAGTCTTTGTCTTCGAAATTAGCCACGTGTGACACTTCACAACCTCTTGGTTTGGACCCAAAGGACGATGAACACACTAAGTTGACGAAGAGCCGACCTCATCGATGTTTGTGTAGTGAGTTCTTTTGCGCCTTTCCATTCCGTTTAGCCTCCCCTCTCACCACTACTTTTAACTAGTGAAAAACAAACTTATTTTCATTTTGCCTTTGTTTCTGTCTGTTTCTTTTATGACTGTACGGTTGTATTGTATTGCGACCGTAGCTGTGGAGTCTCTCACCATGCGTATGTCAATGGAAATGATGTCATCCTGCGGTGGACCACTAATTTTCTTCTGGCTTCCGCCCACTAAAACATGAACTGGTTACATTTTTACTCTTCACCCGGTACTCGAACGGCACAATACTTTGGAACACTGGTAGCCCGGCTTGGTTGCTCACCTGTTGATTGTTTTTCCGAGCTTGATTAAGAAATCGCATACGTTTCACCACCATGCGAGGTGGCATCTTCAATGCAGAGGCAGAAAACATGCTCCCATTCTTGGATGTGTTGGTGACCAGAACAAACGATGGTGAATTTCAAACATCCGTTCACAGAAAAGGAACACATACGGATCAAATTTTGAACTTCTATAGCAATCACCCAAAGTGCCACAAAATAACTTGCGTGCGGACACTATTTCGCAGGATTGAAACACACTGCAGCACAGTGGAAGCCAAACGGAAAGAAGAGAAACACCTATTCGATTCGTTCGAGCGCAATGGCTACCCACGCAGCTTCATCCGCAGATGTCTAAACCATAAACTTATGAACACCGAGCAGATACCAAATGCAAGCAAGAGGGTCGTTTTGCCGTATATGAAGAACATATCTGAAATGACTGCCAGATTGCTCAAACAATACAACATCGTGGTCGCTCATAAGCCAACCGCTACTTTGCGAAGAACACTATCAAACCCAAAGGATACAAGGAATGCACAAGAACGAACAAACGTTGTGTATAAAATAAATTGCAATAATTGTGAAATGAACTATGTGGGGCAGACAGGAAGGAAATTATCCACAAGAATACAAAAACATCAGAGGGCTTGTAAAAAACATTATGCATCGTCTCTTGTCTCAGCGCATGTAGATGAGGAGGGGCATAGCTTCAATTGGGACCAATCAGTGATTTTAGCTCAAACAATAACACAGAAAGGTAGAGAGTTCCTAGAAGCATGGTACTCCTCTAATAATTCGATCAACATGCGCATCGACATAGACCCCGTGTACCATCAACTCCGAAAGAAAGATCTCCGGCGAATCGAAAGACCTGGTTCAGCCGTGGAAGCAAATGGGCAGAGATCACGTGGCACAAATCGAAATCGCCACCTTCAAAAGTCACCTGCCCGTGCATGACGGACTGACAATTCACTAAGGTGCAATACACACTGCCTATTACTGCACTGAAGATGCCACCTCGCATGGTGGTGAAACGTATGCGATTTCTTAATCAAGCTCGGAAAAACAATCAACAGGTGCGCACAATACTTACCTACAGCCCATCAAGGTATTCGTTCTTGATATGAAAATTGTCTTTGCTTCGCTTGATCGTACATGTCTCTGGTGATGCCTCACTCCGATTGGTTAGTTAACAGTTTCAATTCTGTAATCTATACTACGACTTTCCGGGTTACGTTAGATATTGGGTAACTCTCCTCGGAGTTCCTCACGACAAGTGTAGTTTATCAGGGTCACCCCATCTCTTTCTTCCTCCTTAACCTTGTGATCGAGATGATAGTAATTGTTTAAATCCTGCATTCTACTTTTTCGTGTGGAGGTTCCCCTAGGTGACCGAATATCACTCTGGACCGGACCCAGCTGCTATGGGAACGTTAGCGAATAAGCTGACGCTTGGCGCTGCTCGTTTCGGGATTCGCTTTGCAGTGTTTTAGGTCCCATTATAAAACTGGGCTTCGAAGCGATGGGACAATCATCCGCAATGGATATTCGGTTTACTTATTTAGGTAGCCAGATCACTTGTTGTAGTCGCATCACCGTAGTTATTGCCACACGCATTGATTTCTTAAAACATCGGTAACCACGGTCTTCATGATTAGTGGTCAATTGGATGGTTTACAAGCTTGCGGTGTGACTATCGTAACCCTACGGACCAGAAACCTGGCCGCTATGCCCTGAGGACATTTTGAGGCCGGCCATTTTGATCACCGATGCCTGTGCAGTATCGTTCATGTGTGTTGGTAACATCTAGTATGCAACCTTATTGTTTATCATCTGTTGTTTGATGTAGGCTCTTTCTCTCTAGTGCCTCATTAGAGTGCTTGTTGTACCCAGCTCGCCTTCGTTGACTCCATCATGTGTTTCGCATGCCATAGGTCCGGTTGTGACGGCATTTGTTGTCTTCCTTTACCGCGCCTGACTAAGATAAAACCAGAGATGGTCAGTCAGTGACACGGTGAATGAGTATGAAGGTGCTCATCCAAAGTTACAGGTGGTCTCGAATAGGGACCTGAGGATCGGCTACATTCTTGACTAGACCCTGTATCTAATATGACTTTCCTACGAAGTCACTGTCCCCCTTGTATCCTGATCCCTAACCACTCTTCCTAATGTATTTTCAGCCTATTATTTTGTCATTCTTCTTACTAATATTACTATTATTATTATTATTATTTAAGCGACATGTGTCATGTCTGCTCGGTCCGCCGCACTTCGGTGCACGAAACTGCGACTTTGGGATAAGCCGCAGTTTGACAACATTGATGGCAATCTAGCCTTTCCGACGGGCATCTGTGCACTGCCTCTAGACTAACAATCACACCAGATCGTCTGGTGCGTGATGTAAAGTTTCCTTCAATCGAGCATATCAGCCTTAGCTTCACTAGTCACATAGATGTTTTTGCATGGCCGCCTGCACATGTGAAACAGCGATGATCCATGAGAATTCCTCCTTGATGATGTCCGTTTTCAAATCACTTTTCGTTCATATGAAGGTGGACACCATCACATCTTAATTTTTAACGAAACTAAACATTAGCATACTAAACCGGAGTGCTTTTCCAATTCGGTTTATGCATGTGAAGAACACCCCCATTTGTAGGTATGGCTTTTGGCCATGCGTTCGGTTTCTTTTATGCACGTGCGAACCAGCTCCTAATCCACCTTGATTACCACTCGCTTCTTGACTCCATTCCTTCGGGTTTACACTGCACATATAGGTATTTATATTAATATGGATATAGTACAGCCCTACCCTCCCATCATTTATGTTTGTGTATGGTCGTCGTTCGGCTGGTTGGGTCCCATAACTCCGGAAACTGATGTTGCGAACCACTCCATCATGCCCTCTGTTGAGTTTTACCATTTGTCTCGTGCTTCCTCCACTACTTCACAGCGTCCGTGCTTCGCTCCGTTCATCCGCGTCGTGTGAATTTGATAGCTCAAGCACAGCCTTTCGGGGACCGACAGTCTTCCGTGGATACAGTCTCTGCTACGGGATTTTCTTGGTCTCCTTTGTCCTCCGCGCCTACTAACACAGTAGTTAGTGTTCCTGGCAAAAGACGACTAGATGATTTATCGTCGTTCACTGAGAACCAACCACTCTTATCAACAGACGAACACCTCTCTTCGAGCTCAGTCGCATCACCGGAGTCTTCTCGCGTTGTAGAGACTTCGGCCGGATCGACATCTTCCGGGTTATCATTCCTTTTTCCTGATCCGAAGCGCCTTCGAACTTCTGTATCTTTTCAGCCAGCAGTGCAGGCCGAGCCGAGTTCAGTTGTGCTGGAACGTTCAGCCTTTGGATATCCGACATCAACTGGTCCTTTGGTTCACGCAACTGCTTCCCGTTTAGTTGCCGGCCAACAAGAAACTAGTGGTATGTAGCTTTGGCATTTTGTAAGCAATTCCCCATTTGGTTGTTTTGGACAGGAATTTTTCCGACGGTCGAGGTGTCTAACTGTTTCGATTTTGATTTCTTTGCCAAATAATCGCTTTCCCACTCACTGTTCAAATCTCTCACTGATAACCTTATCAGCTAGCAACCAATTCAAGCAATTGCAACCTCTTTTTTCAGAAACTGCGTGCTTTTCATCCCTTGTGACCACGACCCAATGCTGCTGTTGTTTTCTTATAATGAAATTTTGACAACTTCCACGATGGAAGCATGTTTGTTTATTTCCCCTTTACCGCTTTCTGCCACTTCCGTCTCGGTTCTGTATTCGTATTCTATTTATGCTAGTTATCACCTTACTTTTAACCCATTAGATACACGATCAGCTGTCTGTACTTAGCCGTCCACACTGTGACTTCATGGTGCACACTTATATTCTCGTCCTTAGTGAGAAATCACCTCATTTCCCTCAATATGGGTCAAAGTAATATTAACTAGTTTTCTTGCCTCTCCTTTTCCTTTTCTTATTATGCCCGATTAAGGAATCTATTTTTTACCTTTTCAGTGCCCCTTCAAATAGGCTTCATAACTATGCTCGCTTTCTTTCCGTATCTGATTCCTTCGTTTGATAGATTCGGGAACTATGGAAGCGGATATACTTGCCAGCTCGGCTATGTCGGCTGCCACTGAAAGTGGCCAACTTCCACATACCCCTCCAGCCAACGACTTCTCTTTTACTCAGGCAGTTCCACTCAGATCGGATCGCGTCACGAGCCTTCTTCCTGCCGATGCTCCAGCTACTCCAGGTTCTCCCGTTCAATCGGTTTACCAGTTAGAGGTACCTTCTGCGTCCTTTTGGTTAATCAATGTTTCCCTTAACTTCCTTTCTCAATACAACTTAATCACAACTCCACTTTTAGACGGAACATCCTCAGGAAATAGGATCTGGATCTAGGACAGATGTCATGCTCTCCGACGGCTCACAAACTGGACATTTTGATACTCCAAATGAAGAGTTGATCACGGAACCATTGCAAAGTGATTATAATGTGTTACAATCTGTATCTGACCCGCAGTTTACAAACGAATTTGAACTGACAGACGTAGAAGATGTCATAGATGTTCCTGCAGACTCACGGCCTTTATTCGATCAAAATTTTGACACCATGGTAATAGAAGGCACAGGTGGTGTGGAATCCGAGGAGATCGAAACCGGGGAAGTAGAGGGTGAACAAGAATTCGAGCTCGATGAAGAAGATGAACACGATGAAGAAGAGGAGGAAGAAGAGGAGTATGAGCAGCACGAAGAATCTGAGGAAGAATATTCGGATGCAAACGACGAGGTAACGAGGGACGATACTTGCGGAGATGTTATCGAACTAAGCAGCGAATCAGGTTCGTTGTTATTTAACTAGCACACCCCATTTACTTCATGCTTTTCACTGATTCCTTGCCCGCTCAACTAAAGGTTTAGTCAATTATTCCACCACACTTAAGTTAATTGGTTGTGTGGACCACTTCATTATGGTTTGCCGGGGTGATTCGTTCTCAGTTGGGCTCATTGCACCAGCAATCAGTCGTTTTCGTTCACACGCGCTGCACACCATGCATCAAGTTATTCTCATACATACTTTCAGTCGTACTTTCGTAGCGGCGAGAGTGACGGGTTTCACGGCATCAATTTAGCTTGCAGTTCCATTGACTGGTATGGTCGTCGTTTACGTTTACGGTACGCTTGCACTCGGCCTCCCACTTCCATTCTCTGAATCGTCTATCTCGTGTCTGAGCAATATTGTCCACACTTGGTGTGGACATCGAGCGAGTTGTGTGAAACCCACCAGTTAGTTTTCAGTAACAGACCTTGGAATGCTGCGCCGGGTTCGATTTGAGCTTGCTGCAGATCATGGCTTATTCATCTCGGCACGTTACTTTCCTCGATGCACAAAGGGTGCGCGCCGTTACAGGAAGTTTCAGTACGACCGGTCGATGACGTGATGGAGAGCTAGAATAAAGCCAACTATATGGTTGAGTCGGGTTGGTAAATAGCATCCTATGCGTTGGTAGGTTCACCGCTAACTAGCCACTCTATGGGACATAGCACAGTCACCGAGTTTGTTACCCCATCTTCTGACGATGGTAATTTTATTCTGATACTGTTCTGATAAACTCACTCTTTTCGTCTATTTTTCACGCAACCATTGTTTGTAAAACCTTAAGTGTTGCTATCTCGCAGCACTACCGCTCTCGCACTAATCGACACTCATCGTGCAAAGATAACAGGATTGCGATCTCAATGGATCAGTTAAACTTCACAACACAAGTATATCCATACGGCAGTCTACTCGTGATCTTGGAACCGGATATTCTTCCGACTTCCGTTTTTCTGAACCAGCCCAATACCAAATAGCTCGGATTAAACAATCCGTGGCTAACATATGCCACAAAATCCATACAATCCATGCCAGATTCAAATTATTTAAAACACCCACTCGCCCTATTCTCGAATACTGCAACTTCATCTACGACGGCATGCGGAAGTTAGACAGGAAAGCTATAGAAAATTTACAGAGGTCATTCACTAAACGTTTGTTCAATAGCACATACACTCTAAACTCTCACGAACGTTGCAAATAGCTTCGCATCGAGTCTCTCTGGTTGCGACACTTAAAACAAAATTTGATGCTCTTGCACAACTTGTTACACCAGAAAACATACTCTTACCTAATAAAATGTATAAAAAATAAATTTATATATTTAACGACGAACGTTACGCAGCCCTATAAGAGGGACTGATCATTTGTATAGTGAATAGGTTTCATGTTTTATGCGGCGTAAATCATAATAGTAAAGTAAAGTTAAATAACAGAAGTTTGGATCATGATTCTACTTGTTCCTCGGGTCCTATACCCGAGCACCTAATATTTACAATTTACTGATATTTGTATCATCACTTTCTAGTTTGTGGGGCTCAGGAGAAGTTAATAAATGTGAGGAGATACTTGGCTGTAAAGACACAGGATTTGGTATTGTAGGTAATGGCATATAGTGGGTAAGCTAGTTGTAAGCGAATATCTACTCATATGTTTTTTATACCAGCTTCTGTCAATGTTTCTAGAGTTTGCTGTGAGTCTTCAAGACATTCGCTATAGTGATCAATGTCTGTAGGGAATTTCGAAATGTAACAGTTTGCACTCATGCGTATCTGTAGGGGTAATTTGTTCCACAGATCAGTGTATCTCAGAAGGAATTCGTTCGAGTTTTATGATTTGCAAACTTTGTACGTACCAAGTAGCCGCCATTACCTGTGGGCTAGACTGCAGTCTTCCGTACTTCAAGCGCGGTGCTGTCTGCGTAAATTCGTTGGTTTATAATGTTGTAGGAAAGAACGGGGTTGTTCTTTAAGCGCCTCAGCCAAAGGGGATCCAGTTGGTTTTCGCTAGCGATCATAATAATTCAGGTGTGAGTAGCGCCCAATGAGCAGCTTAGTAAGTGATCGTTGGACATTTTCCAGAGCCGTTCTGTCTTTCTTTCTCAATTGGCTGTGAACGATATTACAGTATTCCAAAGTCGGTCGTGCTATTGTCTTGAATGACTCAAGTCCTGCTTCAGGTAGGGAGAAAGTTCTGGTGATATACCCGCATAGCTGTCTTGCTTTTGCAACCTGATAAAGCACATGTTCGGAGAAATTGAAGAATTGGAGCGCCTGCTTCCTAAGTCCCGAACTGAATCAGACGTTGGGATCACCTTTCCGGCAAGTGTAATAGAGCCTTCTGGGATGCGGCATCTGTACCCAAGTATCTGGGATTTCACTGCGAGCTTCATTAATATATCGTTCACTAGCTATATTTAGTGTGGATAGGTCTTCACAAATGTTTCCCAGGTACATTTGTAGTTGGCCTGGATGGAATGTGTAGGCCAGTTTGACGTCGTCTGCAAACAGAAATGGGTGTCCATGTTTGATCGGGTCACATATGTTGTCTACTTAGATTAGGAAAAGTGGTCCGAGCACACTTCCATGGAAGACGCCGCTGGTTATGTGTTTCGGTGCAGAATGTTGCTGATTGATGTTAACTACCAGAGTTAGACCGTTTAGGTATGAGTCGAACCAGTTTAGCAGAGGATTTCCAGTTCCATATGACACTAGAGCAGACAACAGTGGCATGTGCGGCACGCGGTCGAACGTTTTTTGCATGTCCAACAGAATTATACTAATTGTCATTCCTCTGTCAATCATAGTCGTGACGTGATCGAGGAATTGTAGCTGGCAGGTGACGCAGGAGCGTTTTGAGAGAAAGCCTTGCTGTGGGGGGTTGATCAGATCCAGTCTTGTAAGATATTGAACAATGTTCTTCTTGACTAATCTCTCTAAACCTTTGGAAGCAACATAGGTGTGATTTATTGGCGGTAGCTCGACACATTATTTCTTGGGCCACCCTTTTGCTTAGGCATTATAATGCATTGCTTTCATTGAGATGGAAAGCAGCTGGTGGTGAGAGAAAGTGTGAAGATGTTTACTAACAGTAGAGCGAGGTTTTTTCCTCCGAGTTTTATAACAGTTGGGGAGATACCATCTGTGTCTGGGCGAGTTGTTGGTTTTTTGTATGCGATTGCACTTTGCACCTCTCTTAACGTCACAGGGATATCGCAGTTCTTTTTGGAAGTGAAGGATGAAACGGCTGTGTTGAGGACACAGCAAGAGGCAAAACTAGAGCTGTTAGCCTCGCGTATGCAGAAGACGTCGCGCGTTATTGGATTATCATCTAGTGCCAATGTTTCAATTTCCTGAAGTTGTTTAGTGCTCCTTCTTTTGAGTAGTTGCATCAATGTACGTACTTTCTGAGGGTTTCTAAGTAACAGACTTTTTTCTTTGATTTTGGTCGTTTGGGTTAAACGTTGTAGATATAGCAGATTCTCTTGTAGTTGTAGCAATGTAGCGAAGCTTTTGTTCATGCGATATCGCGATTTAAGTTTCTTTAGTTTGGTTGTGGCCTTATACAGACGCTTGAGTCCACCATTATGTTCATGAGTATTTCTCCATACGGTAGGTGCTAGTAGATCCATACCAAGGGCAATAATGTTAATAAACTCAGTAGGATTGTGAGTTAGGAATGACGTATTCCAATTCATGGTACTGATAAGTTCATTAAATGACTCCCAGTCCACACCGTGGAGGTTGCATATGGGTTATAGGATTTTACTTGGTCGTTTAGGTGAATCAGTAGTCATATCACAAACTGGTAGTGGATTATCACTGAACTAAAACACAAGAACGCTCAGACTCCGTAAGAAAAAATTTACGCTACGGATACCAAGGTCTAGAATATCAATGCGGTCCAACGTCTTCCCCATCAGATACGCTGTCTTGTGGAACAGCCTACCAACCGCAGTCAGGACATGTGCAAACCCCACTTCATTCCACACCAAACTCGAAAAGTTCTTTGATTTAGCAGTAATATCATCCATGTTCTCATGTGACAACTCACCTGACGAAATACTCCAGGATGTTCCAGAAAATATTTAAAGGGCTAAGAATTGGCGTCAACAGCACTCATGCAAGAGCATGATCATTTCTGTACATACTGATTTGTTTCCAATATAGAAACAGTTTCTCACACTTTCGAGAAATATATATATATATATATATATATATATATATATATATATATAAACTCGGAGCGTAGAGACAACTAGTTAATGTTTACCTCTACACCGTCGAGCTGCGGGCAAGTCTATAGTCACCGCGATCAATGACTCATATGGGGTCATCTTGCTGCACTCGTCATGTGGGGATGGATTGCGACATACATCTTCAGTCTGGACCACGTATTACATTGCTGTCATTATTATTATTAATCATTATCGTTTTGAGCCTAGTAAGGACAATCAACTGTAAATGCCTAACCTGTTTTGTCGTTTAGTTATTAAAATTTATTAGTTCGCAATAACTATTAAACGCTTTGCTCCTTGAAATGGAGTCAACTCACTTCCATTGTTAAGTAATGGGGGGGGGGCTTTACCCATCCGTTTTCCTAGTGTAGTTCATGGTTGTGTTCAGTGCCATTCACCTCCATGACCCACTTTCAGTGGCTGTGCCTTAAGGATCATATGCCTACCTTGTAATCCGATGGTGCGGGTTCGAGCCTGCTTAGTGACCGGGCGACCCTCGCAATACCCTTAGCCTGGTTGTGGCTGCGAAGCACCAAAGCGTCTGCACTGTGTACCGGCATGTTGTTGATGTCTTTCTTTTCTCTTTTCTGCGGATTAAATACCTGCCAAAATCCCGCGACAGATGACGTAGTCACCGAGCTGCAGTGCATATCAGTCTGATGTGTCTATTTGTACGCTGCGGTTCTTTTTTAATTGAGCTCCTGAAATACGATTGAAATAGCCTGAAATTGTTAATGTAGTTTTTCGACCAGCTAACACCAATGGTTTCGCAATCGTTCGAGTGACCACTGTGTGAACGGATCGAAGAAGTTTGAATTATTAAAGCTCAGTTCGTCCACTGCTGGCACTAAACTCTTTGTACTGGTAAAAGGGTCAGTTGAACGGATAAGGGGAGAGACCAGAAATGAGTCAGAAGTTCTGGTCTCTATCATCTTCGATGTATTACTCCCCACCTCTGAACCTTTTCATATGCAATTTTATTTCATCGCGGCCAGTGTCCTGCCAATATCCTTCGTTCCTTTCACGGTTTGAACTTGTATTTTAAGTGCACCTTAACTCTTCAAGTTCCGCTTCCCCGTTGACTATCAACTGAACTTTCTTTATTTCTCTGAGTTTCACTCAAAGCCCTTCCCGCCTTATGAGTGTGACTGCGTAGCGCGTCTAATCGACTTCTTTCCTAGGCCAGCTAGTGGCCGATAGGACAAGTCGTCTGTCTTGCACCTTTTAGGTCACCGTTTCGAGCCCGCGTAGGGGGCTGCGTGTTCATTGTAGGCTACGCGCGACTGTTGATGATTGCATGAGAGCAGAACGTCGGCACGGCGTACCGCTGACGCCTGCCTTTTAGGCTTCCTCGACTGACTTACAAATCCGCACTGTGGTGTGCGTTGTGTCGATTCTCATTTTTGGTTACGGTAGTCAATCTGGCTCCGAATTCTAGGCCTTGTTTCCAGTTGTTTATATACCACTTCTCCGTGTTTTGACTCGTCAAGTTGCTGTTCCCAGTTTACGGCCATATCCTTCTCTGATAACCACTAAGATATGACTGAATGGGTTAGAATTTTGATTGCGTAATTCCGCTTCAATTATTCGCTGCGACGTTGAGTCGCTCTTTAATTAACTGAGGTGAATAGTTCCCGAGGGATTTATGATAGGAACTGATTTTTTTTATACATACATGTGCGTTGTTTAGTTACCATAACATGATGCTTTTTCTGTCAGTCGCAAGTTATTGAGTGTGTTGTCGTAACTTGCGGTTGCCTCAATTTTCAACGTATTTGCAGAGGTGACAGTCCCACCGGAATTTCCGTATGATAGCTCACCCCACAACTGGCCAGCGTCATGCTTCCAGATTTCATCTCCCGCAACCACCTTCCTAAAGCTAATGCGATGGAACCAAGTTTTCTTTTGAGCACACACTATCGAGTGATGCGATTCTTGAAAATGAATTCCCGTTCCTGATATATTCTTTTTGAGAAAAATCAACCTTGTCCTGATGGGTGAACCCAACTCCATGAGTAATTGAAGAATTAGTCGAGCATATTGTAAGAGTTCAATTCACTATGATCGACATCGACTCTCTGTTGCAGAAGACTACTGTGACTATTCAGTATACGAGCATTCTTAAACAAAAGAGGATCCGTTGATCGCTTGCGACTTGGGAACCGATATCCTGTCGCACTCATTTATTCATGTTACAAGCATGCATGACATTGGTTGTTCGCAACCTTTGTGCACGCTACTCGTCAATATCTTGTCGATATGCTATTATTTCCTATGGTTGACTGCTCATACTAAATGAGGCGCTCTGCAGAAGTCAAGGATAAACTTCGTTTATTACTTTTGAAAACGCTCATCATCACACATAAGCTGATGCTGAGAAACACACTTCAACTATTTTGCTGCAATACATAAAGATGATACACACGAAAAAGCAAGATACTGAAAATTAAAGAATGCTGAAAATACAGGCGACAGACTACATAGCAACAAATGCGTCAAGATAGAGACCATGGTTGGTGGGAGAAAATAACCGGAGTGGGGGAGGGACAAATAAGCTCACACACAGACGCCCATGCTATGTCAACTAGTATATCTAACCAAATGTGTACATCGTCGTTCCGACCCCAGCCAGGCAGGTGGGACACATCAACCAATGCCAGCTTCGAAGTGAGGGATTTCATTTAGCTTGACCAAGTCATCGCTTGGCCAACCCTCCTCTTCTTCCATCCACACGCCCGCGCGCAAACAATGCACGATACGGGAGTCGGTGGCAACACATGGCCTAGCCATCGGAGTCTGCTGCGTGACATCCTGGTGCTGAACGGATCACTTGCTCTTCCTGCACCAAATACACGACACCGAACACGCTCATTAATCTCGCGGTGCTTCCACCAGACATGAGCTAAGCTGCGAACGCAGCGATGATCGAGAGTGGCTAGCCTCTATGTCTGTCGACTTGATGGGCAAGGTTTCGCAACCATACAGTAGGATTGTGAGAACGGCTGCATTGTAGACTCTGCCCTTCAGAGCGACAGTGATGTCGCACCGGCGCCACATGTGACGGAGATTGGCAAAAGTGTCTCGATCTTTTGCTAGAGAGTTTGTGATTTCATCTTCCATTCCGCTAACGCTGATATAGCTGCCTAGATACTTGAATTTTTCGGCGACGTTTAGATGATCCCGAAAATATTATGATGTAGCGTTCTGCACTGCCATTGCCCGTAGCCCAAAGGTAACAAGCTTGCGTTATAATCTTGCGGCGCCGGTTCGAGCATGCGTAGGGACAGCGCGACTTTCGCAGAATCCTTAGCCCACGTGCAACTGGTGGTTGCGCGGCAGCAATGCGTCGGTACTGCGTATCGGCGTACTGCTGATGCATTCTCTGCAGTGCCATACGACATACCTTGTCCTTTTGCTCACTCAAAAATAGGTGCTTTTCCATGGTATTCTTATCTATCACTTTTACTGTATATCGGTTTAAAGAGAATATTTTCAATCCTAAGCTCTTATTCCTACCTCGGCTTTGTAAATGAGCCAGCTAATTACTGCTCTAGATTGTGTTTCATCAGTTGAACTCTGTCTGGTTACAACCGTTTTCTGAATTACAGAGCTCGTTCTTGACATGAGTGATGCTTCCTGGTAACTTCAGAACTTCCTGACAAATCTCGTTTTTCATTAGGTTCTGAAGCAGAGGAGGACGAAGAAGGAGAGGGAGAAGAGGCCGTGGAAGAACGAGAAGAGGGTGAAGCACAGGAGGATTTCGACGACGATGACGAAGCTGACCAACAAGCTGACATTGAAGAGGATCGAGAAGTATATGAAGAAGGGTCTAACCTCGCTCCTGCGCATGAGTGTGCGACCGAGTCTCGTAGCAATTCAGGCGATGACCCCGGCACTGAGAATGCTTCTGTATTTTCACTCACTGCCCCTCTAAAAGCTCAACCTGAGCCAAGCTCCACAGGGGCTGGAGTGACAAATGCATCCTCACAACTCTCTGATCAATCGCATGTTTCCAGCACCAGCACAGGGACGCATATTTTTGGACAGAGTTCGGTTTTCGGCGATACTTCTTCCCGACTTGGCCTGTTCGGTCATTTGAATTCCTCCACCCATATGTCCGGTGGTCTCTTTTCCGGTTTCCAATCCGCCCCATCCACCGTTATTGCTACAAGTGAAACCGTGACCCCAACTCCTTCCCTTTTCAGACCTTCCCTATTTGGAGCCGCATCTTCTACCCCAACTGGTGAGCTCCTCTGTGCTTTATCTTCACCTTTCCTTCTGTCCATCTGATCCCGTTGTTGTGCATACCAGGCAAGGCACGCGCTTTATCACTAGATGAAATATAAACAAATAAACGTTTTATTCCTCAGCAGTGCGAGGCAAAGACCAATTGGGTGGTCTTATCAAAATATAACGATTCGCAACGAGGCTAGACCTTAATGTGGCGTGATGGTTTACGTACCTCGTCGACCCATTGAACTACACTGGTTAGGGTCCTTGGGTCTCTTAAGACCTACTTTTGCCAGGTCGGTCAATGGTTTGTAGTCAGACAAACTTAGTCTCCTGGTCCTTCAGGTTGGGGGTTTGAAATGGGATGGCGTTTATTTCTGTAGAACTGAATAGTTACCACGTCCACTGCCTCGCGGACAGGCTTTTGGGTGAAAGGCTTTGGTTGAGGACCGTAATCGTCCTCCTGGGGATATCTCAGCCTACGTACAACCTTGACTACTGCTTAAAACTTTAACAATGTTCTGCATCCGGCTGTCGCTCAAATCATCAAGGGTCGCCTTATCTGCTGCATAAAAAATATAAATCGCCAGCTGTACTCCCTAACGACGCTTCGCTGCTACGCGACCACCACCAGTATCGTGCCGGCTGAGTATGCCGCGTGGACGCCCACCCCTAAGCGGATTCGAAACGGTGACCTTATGGTTGCAAACCAGGCGCGCTGATCACTCGGCTACCAACCGCGCTGCTGCACACCACAGGGCGGATAAGCGAAAACATACAAGGCATTTTATTGATTTATATCAGGACAATGTAGAGAAATAGCCCGTGAGACGTTTAATAAATGACCGTTGCATTCGCCCTAATGCTATACGGTCACTCACTCCGGAATTACAGTAGATTATGGAGTCATAATCTAGTACAGCCATGTTTCTATTTTTTTAAGGGCGTTGACTGGTTCTTTTACAGTGCATGTTTTGAACAGAAGTCCGAGGCTCTGGCGATCATGAATTGCAGTACGTCCGGCGTGCTCATTGAAGTAATGTATCCCTAGGTCACGGGCGGTATGTCATTGAGACAGTGGCTTACCGTCAATAGCAAGAAGACCCGGTGTGATTTCACATCGGTAGGTTACCTCGTGGTATTTGTCATACCATTTGAATGTTATGACACCTTGTATCTTCCTGTGCGCCGTGCCGCGAAGCAATGGGTTAACATTTCGGATACCTTACAAAGAACCCTCATATTCCTCTCTTTGAATTTGTGATGTGTGACCTTGCTGTAAGATAACAAGTGCGCTGACGCTATTTCATCGTGTAACTGTACGAAGACCCGGTTGTTTCGGGACTGAACGGGCACTGTTGAGGTTTGTAACTAGGTATTTGAGTTTTTCTTTTGTTTAATAGTACTATAGTTAACGTCTCGGCTTTTTTTCTTGGTTGGACCCGGGAGTTTTTACGAGTCACTCGAGCCCCAAGCGAATCTGTTGCTTACAGATGGAGAGTGACATTTTCCATTGAGACTATCATGAATCAAGCGCATATAATTCACCTTGGATTGCGCTTAACATATCACTGACACTAGTGGTGTTAAACATGTAAGCAATCTTTACATCATCGATAAATAGACGAGGTTTCCCAACTATAAAGACGTCAAAAACGTCATTCAAATATAGTAAGAATGATATAGGGCTCAGGACACTGCCTTGTATCTCGCCACTAGTAACTGACTTAGTCGAGCTTGTTACATTTTGAATCTGGGTTCATTTCATGAGGCACAAATCGAACCACGACAACTAGAGGTTGTTAATGCAATATGCAGTTAATTTAGAAAAAGGGATAAACATGCGGAACACAATCAAACACCTTTTCAATGTCAAGTCAAATGACTATAGCTGATGAACCACAGTCAAGCGAACTAATCAGAAGATTGTGGAAGTCGATCTGGCTTGCGATGCAAGACCGTGAACTTTATAAGCCGTGTTGTGAGATGTTGCTAAGATTCCGCGTCAACAACTTCTTAACACTATTTTCTTGGTATTCTACTCGTGTTATCAAATCCCTGTCGACTTGAGTTATGTCAACTAAATCAACTGTGCTTTGTTGACCGGATTATGTCTGCTTAACTTAATTGAGCTCAACTCTGAGTTTTCCTCTTAATCGCTCTCTGAGTCATGGGAATAATCCGTCCATTTTAAAAACGGGGCTCTGCGATGTTTCCGATGGGGTCAAATTTATCACGAATTATTCTTAAGATTAGTAGGGAGTAGTAGGGGGAGTTGAATGGTATAGGTAGACATTCATCATATCTAGATTCAGTCAGACAGCTATTACACGCCTGGGCTACGTCAGTTTTTCAGCCTTTCGGGAATTGTCAGCAGTGCACGTTCAATGCATCCACCGGGGGCTGTGATGTCTGGTTGACTGAGTCTAGATGTGATGAATTGCTATTTATTCTTTATTAAAACCAATAACAATTTCATTATCTTGTTTAAATGATGAATTAAATGGAGTCCCACATTGTTTTCAAGCTGTTTTAGTGACACTCGTCTATTCTACGATCCAAACATCCGACTGCCTATGTTCTTATTTCCTCATATTCGACCTGTATTTACTCTTTTAGAGACTAATTTGATTAACCTCTTTAAATGCTAGTTATTCCTTGTTGCTTTTTGTTATTTCGCTGACATGCATTATCGTCGCAGAAAGAGACCTGATAGGTAAGCAGTCACTTTCATTTCGTGGTTATTGATGGCTTCTTAGAAAGTCGACGTGGACAAAGATTTAGAGAACACAACTTGATTACTCCAACTTCAATTTGTGCTTTTTTGTTAGTTTTCAATGTATTCTTAACATATCGCTTGTATTCGTCGCCTTTCTTGCCGCTTATCAAATTTCGAAGCGCGTGAAGAGAACGGTGTTTGTCAGCATTACTGTCGACATGGGTCCACATAAATTTGTTTGTTTGTTTTTGTGCACCGTAAGCTCATCAGATACGGAGAAAACAAACGGGAAGCCGCTTGCGCGAGGGAACAGAGGCGTGAAATGTTGAGCAAGATGTTGCGTTCAGACGTCATCAGAGAAACCTTTACCTGCAGTGTCCTAATTGCCAAACTGTTCCATGATATGAACGTGTTATGCTCGTCTCTAGTGGATGGGTTATCTCCATGTGTTTACGCTATCATCGACTCAGAACGGTTAAGCTTGAAACAAACATTAACTGTACGGCCAGTGAGATTAACTCAGGCGGACTCTGCGGCCTCCACAACATCTGTGCATTCTTATTTTCCAAACTTCATCCAAATCATTTTTATTTCTTCGATCTTGATGCCGAATTGCAATGCTCTTGCTTCTGTAACCTTTTTGGGTATTGGTATAGTTCATCATAATCCTGCCGTAGATTTTCATATGACATGCATTATAAGTATCAGATTTGCCACTATTCATTTATGTTCTTGTAGCATATCTTCAGTCCTCTGCCGGTTTTTTGTATTTTCTTTTACAACTTAGGTGAGAAAGTTGTTTCGACCGACAGCAAACCGAAGATCCAACCAATTGTATGGGATGCGTCTAAGTCTCCAACTTCTACGACCCAAACTAGTGATTCGGAGTCCACTGTTCCACGAGTCGGTGCAGCTCGTCGTAAAAAGTGGGGTGGACCTCTCCATATACGGAACGTACCTTACGGTGGGCCCACTGCCATGGGTCCTGGCGCTTCAAAGTCGGATCATTTTAAACCCGGTCGTGGCGGACCATCTTCAGCCATGCGGCCTGGTCCGCGCAGAAGCTAGATCGCCAATTGTAAATGCATTCGCTTCACTACATCTTCAATCTGTTAGTTGCCGCGATTTTTATGCTTGTGTACACATATAATTTTCCCTAAGTGCATTTTCCATGTTCTGATACTTCTCTGGATGGGAAAACTTGCAGTTGCTTCGGTTACCTCCGATTCACGGGCGCAAATCTTTTCGTGTGCTTCACCCAACTGTTTGATCTGCGAGTCCAATGTGACAATCCTGATCTCAACGACCCTAGACCCGTTTGCCAACCGTGCAGATCAGAGCTTCCCCAGACATTTTAGGCTGAATTCTGTCCTTAATCGATGATGAATTTAGGTTTTCACCCTATCCCATGTTGGTTAGATTACAAGGTTAGGTTGTGCTCGGTGCCTCGTCAGTATTTCCCCTATGGAAGATTGTACTGAGTTATCTGTTGATTTTTTATCGATCGGCAAGCTCCGTTCGGGATAAGCGAACATCATTGGATTCCTCTTCTTGACTTGCAGTCATTCGACGCTTACTACTGGCCAGGTATGGTCTTATTGTTTGTGACATCAGTGCCGTTTGGTGCATTCTCACGACCGTTCCATCCTCTATATTAATTACGATATTGCGGTACCACCGGTTTTACTGTAGGAATTTCGAATGTCAAGTCCGTAATGACTGATTTCTTGGCAGTTCGAATTGTCGCCCCTTAAAGGTTCAGCACCAACTAGTTCCACCGTCCCAAGTCAAATATCCTCCTTGTGCGCTTTGAACGGATACATTCTTGAACATTGGGTGTTGTAAATCTAAATGTTCTTTTCTTCAGCATATTGATAACCATGTTGTTATGCCATATTCAAGGTGGATACAAGTTAATTTGGAGGCCAGAAATGACGTCATTGGGTGCTGTTACTCCGACTCGCCTTCCGAGTTGGAGTCCACGTGACCCGCCTTGTGCTTAGCTCCAGGCGGTACAAGATACCGCTCGCAGTCGGCACCGGCGGAGCGTCAAATGCCGAGTTATTTGCGGGTGTTGGTTGGTTATAACGCGGGGCAGTGAAAGCCACAAGAAAGCTTTCTCGCCGGTGCCGTTTTATTTTTGCACGCTAAACAGCTGATTGTGACGGTGTTGTTGACTAGGTGTAAGCACCTTGACCCGAAACGTTTGCTTAGGGCATTAAGGTTTTACACTAGGTCTCCCTTCTGTCTCATTATTCTTCGTTCTTTAGGTCGTTGTGGTTGTGCGGCAGCGAAGCACCAGTCCAAATGGCTGATGTGTCGCTGCGGATGATGGTGAAGTGGTGCTTTGCTGTATATAGCAGCTTGTGCTGATATAGATTCTGATTTGTATGGTTGCCATCAGTGTACCACTACGGTAATTGTCTTGGTTTCTGGCCCATATCAGACTGTATCGAGCTGCAGACGGATCTTCGACACCCTTGAATAGTGACTATACTGACGATCCCTAGCTAATGGTATTTATGTTGTCGGTAAAAATGCAAAAGGCAATATAATTTGACTGGGTACCAGTGAATAGCCACACGTGTGTTGGACTTCTGATTACACTCTGTGATAGGATGTCTTTCCATATGTGTGAATGCCCCAACCAACCGCAGCTCGGAAGGTGTCAAAAGTGAGTCATCCCTTATACTCATGCCGAAGCATACTAGTATGGGGATTGTTGCTGACACCATGAATGTCCAATTAGGCAGCCAATCGAATTTCAAACAAAATCTGGCTCGATGCACAGCGGACACACTGACGATGGATTCCTGAAACTATACGCTGATCGCGTTCTCTATCTTAATAACACTGTTTTCCAACTGCAAATAACGCATATCGTTTCAGGACTGTCGGTCAGTGCTACTCTATCACATTGTACCATTTTGACGGTAGACAATATCCAGACGGCTTGGGAAAGGTTCCAAACATTCCTTTCTGTGGTGTCCCTTCCCCACATTCCGCTTTTAGTTGGGAATAAAGAAAACGCCAGACTACCCTGGTTTTATTTAACTGCATGTCAAATGTTGAACAGACGGTCCATGCGTTGGCTGAGTTACATTTTAACTCAATCAGACTGTGTCCCCCATATACAGACAACCGACTATGGTGGTTTCCCTTGACTTGAAATCCACCTTCGACTCTGTTGATCGGGACAGCTTGTGGAACTGCCTATCTACGAAGCGGGTGTCACCTGAACTCCTTTCCATTATGTAGTCTCTACCGTGATTCCCCAAGCCGTGTAAGGATCTACGGCAAACTGTCTCCTGAATTCGCCAGGGATCTCTTATATTTCCATTTCTCTTCAACTTTCTGGTCGAAATGATCACATGTGAGTCGGTTCCGCCGGGCGACCCATTGACAAATCTGGAGAAGCGGACGACATAGTTCTCCTTGAATCTGATGCATTGTCTACGCAAACACTACTGAATAAACTGCCGCGTAACGCTGCACACTTCGGGCTGTGCTTTGCACTTTCAAAGTGCTATTGCAGCACTGAGCCGATAGACCACTGGTTCTCCCCACCACCGAACAGCTTTTGTAAGTGGTGAATTTGTTCACTTAACTTAGCTACCTGGTCGCTTTTGGTGGTCACATCACTGCGGAAGTTACTTCGCGTATCAGCACGGCCCGTTTGATAGCGCCGGTGGTACTATGTGAATCTGAAACCAGGGCGGTTCGCAATGAAGACGTCAAACGATCGGCCGTATGTAATCACTGATCCTTACATAGTATTCTTCATATCTGGTGGGAACACCGGGTGGTAATGTTAAGGTCCATCAGTCGATCTCCGGCAAGAAACCCTTTGGTGTTTCATTCGAGTATTTGTTGACGCATGACCGCTTACGTTGTCCAGGTCATGTTTTCTTTATGCTCCTTAACCGTTTTTCTCGGCATCCATTATGCTGTGTCGCTGCACCAAGTTGACTGAGCTAGTTTGCCAGTCGATAACGTGGCCTAGAGTTTTTCATGTATGGTGACCCTGGGGTGTTCCACATTATCAGCGCGGTCGGTGATTCCCTTCCATCTAGCGGCTAGTATTTCATCCCCATTGGTCTTGCTTTCTTAATTACATTTTTTATGTTGTCCCAGTTTCCTACTTCGCTTTTACCCGCCATTGTTATTTATTTTTACTTTGGTGGCGCGAGTCGAGACAATTGGATTCAGCGCACTTATGCGTCCTTATCATGGTTATCCGAACAGAACTGCTTCACTTGCAGAGATAATCACTGTTACGCACAAGCAGTTCGTTCTGATTGGCGCAGAAAATTTTAAAACCACTGCCCTGGTCGTTGTACAGATCGGCGCCTCTAAAGCCAACCCCTAATTGTTAATCAATCCACTCTGCTCAGCGTCAGTATCCGCACCGTCACAGAACAGTGGACAAAAGGAATTTGAAATGGTTGAGAATATTCGTAGTTCCGGATGTGAATGTGGGTATTACACTGCTCTCCGAGCTGAACGCTTATTTTGCAGAAGATTCGCTGCCAGATTAAGCAACATCGTCAGTGCGGCTTTAAGGTCCTGTTTCGCAGAGCCTCGTAAGCGATTTCGAGATCTACATGCTTATTGATCGAGTTTTGCTTTGAATATGTTAATGGGACGGAACCAGCCAATGAGAGCGTTTTACGCTGAGGGCTATTGATTTGGCCACAAATTGAATGTACCGTTTGTTTGGACGTTAAGCAAAATATACGTGCCAGCCGTACGCCGGTCTCCTGCTTTGGGAAGTCGGGCTAATCAGAGTGCACGCTAGCAGCAGGTCATCGGTAGGTCAGCCGAAACCATAACATATATTTTTGGCGACGGAAGGTAGTGGATCAAGATGTCAATTTCAGCGGAAGACCTGAAAATCATTTTGTTGCAGCAACAGCAGCAATTTGAAACAGCACAGCTGCGTATGATTGAAACCCTCACCCAAATGTTATCTGTGCAGCCTACGGTCGTTCAGAACAATGGGAAGCCTTCGGCGGATGCGATGATCAGTAGTGTTAATGAGTTCATATTCGATCCTGACTCAGGATTAATATTCGATGCGTGGTTCAGACGCTATGAAGATGTTTTCAGGGCAGAGTTGTCAGGTCTCGATGATGCATCTAAAGTTCGCCTTTTGTTACGAAAACTCGGAACGGTTGAACATGACAGATACATTAACTACATTTTGCCAAACAACGCGCATGATTTCAGCTTTGATGATACAGTTGTTCGACTCACAGCGTTGTTTGGAGACCAGTCGTCTCTTTTCAATAACCGATACAATTGTCTAAAGCTATGCAAAAAGGACAATGACAGTGTTATTGCTCACGCGGCGATAGTCAAACGTGAATGCCAGAAATTCAAACTGAAGTCGCTCACGGAAGACCAGTTCGAGTGTTTGATACTAGTATGCAGTCTACAGTCCCCAAAAGACGCCGAGATACGAACGAGAATACTTGGTATGTTGGAAGGCGACACAGATGTTACGTTACAAAACGCCATTGCTGGATCCCAAAGAATCATGAATTTAAAGCACGATACGGCTATGGTGGAAGATTCGAGAGCACATTCCGCAGATATATCTGTCCAGCAAATTTCAGGAAACAACCCACCGACCGCTCAACCTAGCAGATATCCACAATCCAAACCCCCATCACCTTGCTGGCAATGCGGAGGATGGCATTTTGTGAGATGGTGTCCTTTCAGCAAACATGTTTGTCAAAGGTGCTTTAGACGGGGGCACAAGGAGACCCACTGCAGATTCAAAACGTCATTTAGATCGTCATGTGATACTCGAAAAGCAGGTTACCGAAGGTTCGCGACAAGAGTAAACGCTAACTATACGGACGATGTTAAAGATAGAAGAAAGTTCGTCACTATTACCATCAACGGAAGAGTAGCGCGTCTGCAGATTGATACGGCTTCTGATATTACAGTCATTACGGAAAACTTATGGAAAGCTATCGGTTCACCTGACATTAAACCAACTAACCATAAAGCGAAGAGCGCATCAGGTACGAGTCTAAACTTGATCGGTCAGATTGAATGTGAGTGTCGCTTTGCCAACTTCACCGCTTGGGGAACTATTTTCGTCACAACACACAAGAATTTGAACCTCCTTGGATTAGACTGGATTGAGCGATTCAA